TTGTTTATATATATATATATATATATATATATTTATAATTCTAGATTTTTATTTTATATTCGATTAAATATCTCTTTCATCGTGCATAGTTTCGTTGCTTTATCATCGGATTTCTTGCACAATGACGGCAACTTTCTGCGTTGCCACAAGATACAGGTCAAGGACGTATTAAGCCTTAGGCCTTTGAAATTTCTAACAACATAATTTTGATGATGCAAACGTTCAAAAAGAGATTATTATTGTATCCCCCGTCTTGACAAAAATCAAGACAAATTCTGACTTTGAACTACATTAAAAAAAAAAAAAAAACGTGCGTATATATAATTTTTTTTTCTTTTCACATTATAAATTAACTTTATCCAATATAAAAAATCTCATCAATTCAATCTTCTATTCCAGATACTACTGTTGATCTTAGTTGAAAACGTTGAAACATCATCTTTTCATCGCGTTATACACTTCAAACGCTTTTCCTGACAAGATCTAACAAGAAACTCCAATTTTCACAATCATTCTGTCAAAGAGTCGATCATCGAGCGTCCCTCGATTTTGGTCAAATTAAAACGCGTTCGAGGTTCCTTTCTCCGGTCGGCTTAATGGCGGTCAGCGTCGAGACGTCGCCGTCGGGAACGGGACGCATCCCGCGACGGGTGATCGCGCAATTTTACAGGATCGTGGCTGCGTCACATTCGTTGGCCGAAGAATTTAACGAGGCGCACGCGACTCGCCCTCCTCGCCGAACCGATCACCGGTTCCAGTCACACACGCTCGATAATAGCGGCCCTCCTGAACGTGAACACCCTTATCCAATGTGTCCTCGTTACACCAATCTCACGACTGATGTATATTCATGGACCTGTCCACGCACATCGAATTGGAATCAAGAAAATGCCAACTATCTCTCATCGTGTCTATTGAGCGGTTAGTTCGATCGTAGAATCATGGATTTTGAATAATGTACGATCAAATCTAGATTGTAGAACGGTGTTTGGTCAGGAACTTTGGTTTTGGAAAGATAGATCTAGAAAGATGATATCGAGGATCTCGTACAAATTGACGATCTTTACGAGATTCGTGAGATTCAACTAATTCTTTCACTTGTCAATTTTTTCTCATTTTTTTTTTTGTACGAGAATACGAGAATCTGGAACAAGAAGGAATCAATATCTTTAGAAGAAAAATATTTTGAAGAATAAAACTCGATAGAAAAATCCATCGAGGCATGGATAATTTTTCGTACAAGAGTCTTTTGCGTGAAGCTTCATCTATACAAATCGAGGCAAACCTTTTTAAATTTTTTAGTTCTCACAGTGTTGAGTCGACTTTTAAATCGCACGATCTCAGTGTGATTTTGTTCTCGAATAAAAAAATTAGTGACTCGTCCGTGGAACCTGTCTTTTTAGACGTCTAATGGCGGAACGAGCGTTCAGAGAACTGATGGCGATTATAAAGAGGCACGTGCCTCTCTTCATGAACGAGGCCCCATGCAGACAAGCACGCGGCCACCGAAAGCTAACCCAAGAATCGTACAAGGCACAATTAATTTATTGTTCGTGCCGGTATAGTGACAATCGAGGGAACGCCGGAGAAAAACAGGATCGTTGTTTTCTTCTATTTCGTCCGAGGGGTTACGGGAACGGATGCTGCAAACCGATCCTCGGCTTTGTCAACGGGGATAATTGTCAACGATCTTTGCAGAATGGTATGTACTTTTTTTATAATAATATATCTCGTGCAATTTCATTTCGTTAATAATTATAAATAAATTTTTTGTTTAAGGGAGATCTCTAAAAAAAGATATCTTTTTCTATCCAAGAGAATTAAACGGTTCAAGATGGATGCAAATCATTTATCCAAGAGATCCAACGAGACGTTAAAGAGTATTTCCAGCAAGCTCGTAGTCAAGCTTTCGGCTTAATCTCCATAAATTCGTAAGGGAGAAGAAATATATCGCACTCTTGGTTTAATGTTATTTGCTTTTCGCCGGTATCTACAGCGAATTAGATCGGAGATGATGAGAAATTTTCAAAAAAAAAAAAAGAAAAAGAATTGTCTCGTTATTTATAAAGTATCTATCGAAGGGCAATAAAAAAAAAAAATTTCACTTGCAATAAGTAAAAAGATTAAATTCAATTTCATCAATTTTTACCAGAATAAAGAACTTAATAAAACGAAAAATAAATTATAATTTTCGTAATCATCCACAACGAACAATCTCCTCTAAGAAAAAAATTTAATTGGTTTATTTTGATCTCTTGTCATTTCCAAGTTTCAATTTCAATTTTGATGAAAGAACGAACTTGACCAATTTTCTGCAACTATTGAAAGAGGAGGATAATTTGAAACGGAGAAAGAGTGAAGAAGAGTGAAAGAGGAGGAGACAGAGTGGAAGAGAGAGAGACAGAGAGATAAAGAATTTTAATAAGATAGATCATCAGAGGAAAATATCGATTATATTTTTCTCGTAATAGGTATGCAGCGCGCGCGCTATCAAGTTTTACAATATTTACAACTCTTAAAGTAATTATCGTACAACGCGGTGATCATCGTACCCATCGTTAATTTACATCGATTATAAATAATAGTGTTTCGCATTGGCAATGTGTACACGTGTATTATACATGAGATTAGCCTCGTGGCAGCTAACAGCCTCGAGCAATTGTTCATAAAGTTACTAGAAGTTCAATAATAAAATACTTCGATGATTAAAATGTAACTGGGATTGCCAGAATACTCTATGGTCGTAATTTATTAAGTAGTCGGGTTTTAGGGAATCGCGCGCGGTGTTTAAATAAATCGCGTGATTTAAGATGTAACAAAGGTGATATTTGTTCCTTTTTTTTTTTCTCTCTCTCTCTTTTTTTTTGTGTAGAAGAAGGGCGTGTGTATTTCTTTGGTCGGTTGGTACAAGCACCGGTCAGTCTTCGGGTCTATCTAAGAAATACCTAACGTATTTATATACTAAATTGTTTTAAGAGCTATGAACGACTATGCAATGTACATGTCTACAAATTAAGTATCTCAGAATGCGCT